ATAAATCAGATTCTGTCCTTTTAAAGATGTTTCTTTCTCCCCCTTGCCTATAATAGTACAGTTCGTTACTTATTCAAAGCATGAATCCTCCTTTACTCAGATCCTGTCCCTTTTGGCTCTGTACATCTCCTGGGAGTGCAGAATGATTCAGTGGTAACTTAGTCATTTGCACATTGTACAAGATGATTTTACTGAAGAGGAAAAAAAAAAAGGCAAAAAAAGGCTGTACTTATCATTGAAACACTTTGTGTTAAATAGAGATAATTAAAGCATCAACAATCAATCTATTTCATGTTTAATTAGCCCCTCTTTCATCATAATTCGTTACTGAAGGTCAAATGTGGGTCACTTTTAAAAACTAACTGCAAAGTATTTAATGTAATGCAAATTGAGAACAGAAAACCAAAAGACATTTCTGGACACCTTGAACCAAACAATTTTAAAGGTACATATCTGAAAGAAGCCAACAATGTAAATCTTCAAATTTTATGAATATCCTCTCATTTTTTTTTCATCTACATTGGACTATAGCTAACATAACATCATTATTTTTATACTGTAGGATATTTGATAAGCTGAAAGTTATGGATACACTTTATTACTGAAAGTTGTTATGTGACTTAAAAAGCCGTGTTTGATCTAAGTCTATGCATGTATCTGTATGTCTAAACATAAAAAGGTGACGTTTTCTTGCATGGCTAAACCCCTTAACGCATGAACTTTGGGTGCCATTAAGATGCTGGTCCATGTACATATTTATGAGGAAATGGCCCCGTTTTGTTTATAGATACAATTCACATAGCTGATAACCAACTCATCAAAATGCTTCTGCAGTACAACACACTGGTTAATGTTAGAAAGGTTATTAACTGACTACCATACAAGAAAAAGTTTTTTTTAAATAATTTTAATGTATTCCACTTTCATGAAAATTAAACTTTGGTGAAATCTTTGTAAAACCAGGCTTGGGTCCTGTTTCCTCCTCAGTCATGGAATGTCCCAAGTCACTTTTGTGACAACAGGAAATGCATTCAATTTTGACTAGTGTGTCAGCACACTCCAGTATGCAAATGTTTTTCTACACTAAACAGTATATTTATATTTGTTTATCAAACAAATATATGAACAGGCTTTAAAAGGCCGATTCTTCAAAAATAGATCATTAACATCCTAATCTCAGTAACAATGAAAAGTTTCATTGAAATAAACCTGCTCACATGCCATTATTTTGCATGGTGAAAGAAGGTGTAGAAAACAGTATACATTATATATATATATATATATTTGTAAATAATATGAGAAAACATGTAGTAGGTTAGAATTAGAAACTATATTTTAGAATTACAATTAAAGATACAATCCTTCCCCCCCCCCCCCCCCCCCCCCAGTTACCAAGTGATTGCTGTTATTCAATGACTTTTCCTTATCTTTGTCTGTCTTTTTTGGAAGTTAATAGTAACCAGGCCCCTGACTGGCAACATGCAGCACCTCGAGGGTTCATATTTAAAATCTACAATCCAGCAAAGCACTTCCTTAGACTCATCCTGATTCAGCAAAACCCTGCTGACAAAACACGGGTTTAACTTTTGGCAGGTGATTAAGACCTATGGAATACTCGGGGATTTAAACATCAGCTTCCATATATGTAGAAACTTTACTGAATGGGGAGAATAGCTAAATGGGAGGCTAAAATAATATTTCAGAGAGTAATACCATGGGAAAAAAAATGAATAAGTTTCAAATAAACTTGTAAAAGATCTTTTATAAAAGTAAGGGTGAAATGTTAGAAGTCTTGAATAGAATATAAACTTCATAATAAAATACTTAAAGGAGGAGAGTTACAAATTGCTTTTAGCTTTCTCTGGTGATTTTCTCCTACAAAGTAGTGTATCAAACATTTCATGTAACATATGCCATGCACTACCTTAAATCAGAATGAAAACAGCTTGCATTCACTTGGGCGCACCAATCAGGCAACTAAGTAGAGGTTTTATTTCCTGACTAAGATACTGTGTGTATGTGGAAGTATCAATTAACAATTCTAATTACATTAATGGAAAATGGCTATTTCTCTCACTTCTAGTAACTTAGAACAGATACTTGCAGCTGTGTCCACTTATTTATTTTAAAACTTTATACACCTTCTAATGTCTCCTTAGAACATACAAAAGTGTCAAATACAGAAGTGCCAATAAAGGCAACCACAGAGATTTCACCTGATCTCCCCATAATGTTCATGTTACTATGCCATTGGCTCTATTTCATATGGACAACAGAACTATGAAACACTGTGATACACACCACATCATACCAATTTATCTACAAAGTGCTTCACATTTCTCTCTCAACGTGCTGAACAAGTGTTCCACGTGGTTTGGGTGTTATAAATGCTAATGTGTTTTGCCTGATAAACTGAGAAATGCTCCGCTGTCAACGTTTGAGAAGTGAAAGTCTACATACTGTTTATGCAAATACATCTTAATGTGTATACTAGTATGCAAAAGCATGAACAAAACTATATAAATGTCACTCAGCAATATGCTGGCAACTACCCTCAGGAAACTGGTAACAGAAATTTTATGCCCGGCAGCCTCTGCAGTTATTTGGAAACTTTCCTTAACTAAGTTAGGCACATCCTTAGCAAGCATACAAGTACGTTCAACATATTTAAAAATAAAAAGACATAACTAAGGCATTTAGAATATTGGCTATAAACTACTCAAGTAAACTTGCCTTCACTTACAAACTAGACATCTAGCACAGGAAAACTATCAACACTATGGAACGGTTTTTATACTAAAATGGATAAATAATGGAGCAATTCAGAATGCATTTCTTTCAGCTTGACTGCTGCAAGTAAAAGTGTAATATTTTTTTTTCTTTTTACAAATAAGTCTTCTAAAGTATCATATATTAAAAAATAAGTCCTTACAAAATGTTAAGTAACCCACAAATATTTTTAACATAACCTCAAGTAAGGTATTTAAACAAGCAAAATAATTATTTGTATGTAACAATCATTTACCATTAGCACATTCAGCAGACAAGCTATTTTCCATTGAAAATAAATTGCACTTTTAACAGTTTTTAATTCATATGTTTAGATGATTTGCAGCAGCAAGAAAGAAGTAGCATCTGATTAGCATTTGTTCCACTTCTACTTTGTTGTTCCAGTGTTCCCTAAGAAGGCATAATCTACGGGCTTAATTTACTAGATGGAAGCTTAGGAACTTTCTAGATACTTTGTATTTTATATAGGCTGTATTTTTAAACTGAAATTATAATGTTCTCTCTAGGAGAGAACTGATGAAATATATCACCCAGAAACGACTGTGTCAAATGTTCTACAAAACATCTGTGTGACATATACATAAACATAAATACTAGCAGATAGCACATCAGTCACACATTTTTGGTGATCTAGAAGACTGTGCGGCTGATACAATTCGTTTCCTTTTACAGTATCTTAAGTATTTCTGAGCAGAATGCAAATACTGGTTACACACCATAGAACTTCAATTGTAGTAGTCTAGCAGACGTTTCAAAGCATAAAAAATGTCATAGTGTACCATATTTGCATGTTAATAAGTTGAAAAGAAAGCATTTTTGTCAAACTAGTCAGAATTTTCCTGTTTCAGACTTGGCTCTGTATTTGCATGAATCAGCACTCATTTATCTGGAGATTCTTGTGTAACATACGCTGTAGCTGAGGAAACACTCAGAATATTATCTTATGTGGAAGGAGGTAATGGGAATCTCCAAGTGTTAAATATCTATCTCATTTATACAGCAGCCCAAAACGCTCTCACAAGAAGAGAACTGACTTCTGTTCAGGCTACATATGTGTCTTACAATATAAACAAAGCTTTCATTTAGGAGCATGTTTCTCCGCTGTACTATCCCTGTATTATTTCAAAGCTTGTAGGGAAGTCCCTGCCGCTACCACTTCTATACTGCTGGGGCTTCACCGAGCAGACCTGCACCAGCACGGTGGAAATCAGAGCCAGCCGCTTAGGGCACCGGCGAAGGAAGGTTCACCTCGGTCCGAGAGCTCTCAGGGAAGTCAACCTCTCTGCAGACATAGCTGTGCACCAGCTGGGCTGGCAAATAAGGGCCCCTCAGTTTGAATTAAGTAATTTGATTTGACGTATATTAAAAAAAAAAAAAAAGAAGGCCTTGAAGGCGTGCTGGGGTCCGATTCTAAGCTCATATTTATGTGTGTTCAGAGCAACCGCTGAACATCAGTGAAATCTCAGTGATGTAAATTAGAGAACAGATAGGCTTTTTAGATTATTTAAGCGTTGCGATCCTAATGAACGACCTGATAATTACAGCCATTAACGTTTCAGCGCGGCGGCTGCAAATCCACTCTCACCCACCGCCTCAGTAAACATCATCAAAGCCCCTGCCTCCCCCCCTCCCCCGAAAAATAAATAAATAAATAAAAATAAAAAACTTTCCTCCCAGCTCGCCTCCCCTGTGGCTCAGCCTCCGGTGCGAGCCAGGCCGGGCCCGGGGGCGGCAGAGCAACCCGCCTGGGGTTCGTGCACCCCATCCCGCCCACAAAACGGGCCCTAAGGAGGTGTGAGAGCCCACAAGCAAGTTATTTCGGGTTTGCTCGCTGTCTGTGACGGCTGCCTGCAGCCCGCCCCCGTGGCCAGCTGCAGGCTGGGTGGGACATGGTGAGGGGGCTCAGCACCCGGGTGGGCGCCCCCCGCCGGTGCGGCCGCAGGGGCAGGCCGGTGGGAAGATTGCGGGGGGTACCCCACAAATGGTAATAACAAAGATCTCTGACTGTCCTTCCTGCGTGGTGTGCACCTGGCTGGGGGCATAGGTTGGGGAGGGCTATTGGGGGTTGAAGGGGTCGTTGTGCGTGGTGGTCGTGTGTGCTTGTGTTAGGGGGGCAAGGCGGGCACCGGCGCTCCCTCCCCCCGTGTGCGCGTGTGAGTGTGCGCGTGCCCGCGCGTGCCGGGGGCGTGCGCGCGGCGCGGCTCCCTTACCTGCTTGCCGTACTTGCTGCTGGCCTGGCAGCTGTACTCGGAGCAGTGATCCGACCCGATGGAGATGTTGTCGCCGGCGCCCACGAAGGTGTTAGCCGGGGGCAGGTCCTGCACGGCCTGGTGCTTTTTGCCGGCGGTGGGGGACTGGGGGTGCAGCTGGACGGTGGGCAGAGGCGAGCTGGACTTGTAGTGCCTGGCCAGGTCGGGGCTGCCCGGACCCCCGTTGACCGAGCGGTAGCGCCCCATGCCGGGGCTGTCCGAGAGCTTCTCGTTGACGCTGTCGTAGCGCTGCCCATTGGGCTTGGAGGCCTCAACGGTGACGATGCTGCTGTAGAGGGGCTGCTTGCCCTTCTTGCCTTTCTTGTCCTTCTTGGGCTTCTTGGCCTTGTCGTGCTGCTGTGGAGTGAAGAAGTCCTCGTGGTCCTTCTTGCCGGCCTCGTAGCCGTGTTTGCCCTTGGAGCGGCAGTAGCGGGCCATGACCACCACCAGGATGAGGAGGATGACGGTCATGATGCCAGCCACCACGCCGATGACGATGCTAAGCCTCTGCTTGCTCAGCTCGTAGCTCGGGTCGCCAGCGATGTCCTGGGCCAGAGGCGTGTGGAGGCTGCGGGCCACCTGGCTCTCCACCACGGTGGCGTTGGACAGGCTCTCATTGACGAAGACATGGAGCAGGGCGGTGGTGGACTGGGGCGGCTGCCCGCTGTCGTTCACCTGCACCACGAGGCGGTGCAGGCCGTAGTGCTTGGGGGCCAGCTTGCCCACCAGCGACACCACGCCGCTGGCCGGGTCGATCTCGAAGAGCTTGAAGGGGTTGCCCCCGACGATGCTGTAGTTGAGGTCGGCATTGAGGCCGGTGTCGGCGTCGGTGGCCACCACCGTGGCCACCACGGTGCGCATGTTGCTGGAGGGCGGCAGCACGGTGTAGGAGCTGTTGCTGGGGAAGGTGACGGTGGGCGCGTTGTCGTTCTCGTCCATTACAAAGAGGGACACGGTAGCGGTGGCCGAGCGCGGTGGCTCGCCCCCGTCCACCGCCTTCACTTTGAAGGTGTAGCTGGTCTGCTGCTCCCGGTCGAAGGAGACGGTGGAGTAGATGGTTCCCGTGTCGTTCTCGATGGAGAAGATGCCGGCCGCCTGGTCGTGCTCGCCGGGCTGGATGGAGAGGCTGAGTTCGGCGTTGCGCCCCTTGTCGAAGTCCATCACGGTCACCATGCCCACAGGGCTGTTGGGCTGCAGGTTCTCCTTCACGTAGAAAGTGAACACGTCCTGCATAAAGCGCGGCTCGTTGTCGTTGCGGTCGGCCACCCGCACCACCACTGTGGTGGAGCCCTGCAGCGACGGCACCCCCTTGTCCCGGGCTGTCACCTGGAACTCGTAGGTGTCGCGCTGCTCGCGGTCCAGCACCGCCTGCACCGACACGTCCCCGGAGTCGGGGTCGATGCTGAAGATGCCGCCCGGCGTCTCGGAGGAGAGGGGCGAGGGCTCCAGGGAGTAGGTGAGCTCGGCGTTCTTGCCGCTGTCCGCGTCCGTGGCCACCACCGTGGCCACCCTCTCGCCGGGAAGGTTGTTCTCCGGGAAGGAGACCTCCAGCACGGCCTGGCCGAAGACGGGAGGGTTGTCGTTGGTGTCGGCGACCCGCACCAGCAAAGAGTTGTTGCTGGACAAGCTGGGGCTGCCCGAGTCCACGGCCACGATCACCACGTTGTAGTCGCGGACCGCCTCGTAGTCCAGAGGGGCCGAAGTGTGCAGGAAATACTTGCGCTTGTTCTGCGGCTCCCCTTCGCCCTCGCTGGCCGGCTTGAGCTGGAAGGGTACGTCGCCCACCACGGTGCAGGTCACCACGCCGTTTTCACCCTGGTCCCGGTCCGACACCTGCACCAGCGCGATGGGGGTGTCTACCAGGACGTCCTCGGCCACGCTGGCCACCCCGTCCCGCAGCGGGATGCGCCCGATTTTCCGGATGTCGATGGTGGGCACGTTGTCGTTCTCGTCGCGGATGTTCAGCACCACCGTGGCCTTGTCCGTCTTGGGGGGCTGCCCGCGGTCGCGGGCCATCACGGTGAAGCGAAGCTGGTTCACCTCCTCGCGGTCGATGCGGTGCAAGACGCTGAGCCAGCCCGAGGTCTCGTCCAGCCGCAGCAGGCGCCTCACGGACTCGGTGGCCGCCCCGAAGACATACTCGATCTGCCCGTTCACCCCCACGTCCAGGTCGGCGGCTCGCAGCTGCAGGATGGGGGTCCCGGGGCTGCTGTTCTCAGCCAGGTCCGCCTCGTAGACGCTCTTCTCGAAGCGGGGGCTGTTGTCGTTCACGTCGGTGATCAGCACCCGCAGGATGGCCTGCGACGAGCGCGCCGGGTCGCCGCCGTCCCGCACACGGAGGCTCAGCTCGTAGGAGTCCCGCTGCTCGCGGTCCAGCGCCCCCTTGACGATCAGCTGCGGCTGCTTCTCCCCGTCCAGGGTGTCGGCCACCTGCAGCTCGAACACGCTGCTGCGGGCCGCCGCATCCGCCTCCTGCCTCCGCTTGCTGCCACCGGGGTAGAGGGCGCTCTCCGAGCCGGTGGGCACCGATCCCCCCCCGCCGCCTCCCCCTCCGCCGCCGCCGCCACCGCCGCCACCGCGCCGTCCCCCGTCCCCGCCGGGCTCCTGCAGCAGCTCGTAGCGCTCGATGCCGTTACGGCCGAAGTCCCTGTCGGTGGCGGTGGGGAGCAGGTAGAGGGTCCCCACGGGCCGGTTCTCCTCCACGGTAAGCGTGAGGACAGGGGAAGGGAAGGTGGGGGTGTTGTCGTTGATGTCCAGGATGATGACCCGGCCCTCGAAGAGGTCCACCCAGCTCTGCGAGGGGCCGATGACCGACACCTCGAAGTCCAGGAAGCACTCGTTCTCGTCGAAGATCATCTGGCACTGCGGCAGCTTCTCGCGGTCGATGCGCCGCTCCGTGGTGCTCAGCTCCCCGGTCATGTTATCGATCTTGAGGTAGTCGGAGCCCGATTCCAGGCTGAATGTCACCTCTCCGGAGCCCGTCACGATCCCCAGGTCGGCAGCCACGTTGCCGATGCGGATGTCGGCAGGTCCCTCCTCGGCCAGCCGGTACCTCAGGAGCTGCTTGGCCGCTGCCAGGCTGACCCAGAGCGGCGGAGGCAGGAGGAGCAAGAAGCAGCAGCAACAGCAATGCACAAAACCAAGGAGAGTCCGCATCTTCCTCATCTTCTTCACACCGACCCCCTCCCCCTCCTCTCACTCCCACCCGCCCCCCAGTAAACTCCCCTGGTAAGCCAACAGAACGCCTGAGAGTCCGAGGTGATCAATTATAAAATCCTTCTATTTCTGGAAACTTATTGTCTCATGGCTGGTGCAATCGGTGGGCAAAAGCTTGCTGTTGGCTCCTCTGCTGCTCTCCCTGCCTTCCAGTTGCGATATACTTACAGTTCACGGGACAGTGTATTTTGCTTTTTAAAGATTCATCTCGGCAGATAGGATGGGATTTTCCTCCTCCTCCCCCTTCTCCTCCTCCTCCTTTCTGATTTTACTGTAATCACTTTGCAAGGTTTGCAATAAAAGCAGGAGCAGCACTGCGCGATTTGAAGCCCCCCAGGTCGTCTTCTTCGACACTAGAGTTAACTACAATTCACACACACTCTCTCTCTCTCTCTCTCTCCCCTCTCTCTCTCAGCCGTTTACGACCAATGCATTAGCTTTATTCTTTCCCCTCTCTGCACACACAGGAAAAAAAATGTGATTTGCTTTATTCAAAGGGCTTGTGTCCGGGAAAACTCCAAATCCTTTTAGCAACGGGCAGTTCTTTTTAAAAAATATAATAATTTAAAAGGCAAAGAAAAAAAAATCCCAATAATGTCGATAGCTGCACAATTGGTAGGAGAAGAACCCCTTGTATTACAGAGCAGTCCATAAAATATCCCCTTTGGTTGGCAGAAAAGCACCCAAATCCATCTTCAGAGACCGCCTGAAATGTTCAGCTCTTTCTCCGGAGAGGATTTTTTTTAACAACTCTGCGCAAGGTCATTAGTCACAAAGCAACGATACAGAAACTGCAGAAGCCGTTTGCCCGGAATTTGCAAGGCTGTAGATATGAATATACACACACAACAGTCCCAAGTTTGTTTTTGCATCCGCAGTTTGTGTGTGTGCCTTACCTGCATTTGCACTGCATGTGTTATAGCAATCTGGATCTGCAGCACTGAGAGCGATTCACAAATGAGATTGCAGTCTCTCTCTCCCTCTCTCTCTCTCTCTCTCTCCTCTTCCTTCCCGTCCCAATGCAGGTAACCAGATCTGAACTTGATCCTTTCAGTTCAAAGGTTAGCAACAAAACTATGTGTCCAAAGGCGATTTTTGGTCTCTCGTTAATACACCCGGAGCGGAACAAGATGTAACTGGATCCCCCACGTGAATTAACACAGATTCTGAATTACATCCATATAAGCGGAATGGCAAAGGGGAGGGGAAAAGAGCCGCGGCGCGATTAAAAAAAAAAAAAAAAAAAAAAAAAAGCAACAAAAAAAAAAGCCACGGAGTTCTATTTGCAAATAAAATTATATCAGTCAGTTGTTTCCTGTGATCTGCACCGCCACGGTGGGTGAAATCTGCAATTGTGTATTCCCTCCTGTGTCTTTCAGAGAAGTGTGGCTCAGGCGCTTTCACGGCAGAGCGGCTTGTGCTTTAAAATGTTGAATGGCAACTGAGAAGCTTCCCACTCGGAAGAAAAAAAAAAAAAAAAAAAAAAAGGCAGTAAACCGGCAAGTTTGCCCAAAGTGGTGGGAGCTGCTGAAGCCTCTCTCGGTAGCTCTTCCCTGACGCTGCAGCAGTACAGCCGCCTGCGCTACATACACACAGAAAGAGAGAGGGAGAGAGAGAGCGAAAGAGAGAGCGAGAGTGAGGGAGGGAGGGAGGAGGAGGAGGAGGAGGAAGGAGGTGGAGGAGGAGGACGAGTCAAGCGCTGCACTCCAGAAAGCCCAGCCTTACCCTCTGTCTCTGCTGCTGCTAGTGCTGCAAGTGGGATAGCTGCTCATCACAAAACACCAGTTCAGTCCTCAGAACCGATCCTCATTATACGCCCGAACGTTGCTGCTGTTGCTGTCTCTAACCCGTGATCTATAGTGATTCTCTCCTACCCGCTCCCTCCCCACCTCCGCTGTAGACTGTGAACCGAGCAACGATTTTTTAAGCAAATGTTTATTCGCCTTTCTCTTAGGCAGAGCTGGTGCACACTCGGGGCTCTGCATTTTGCGGAATCACGCTGGTAAGAAAACTCATTTCTCACAGATTCCCACCTTCCCCTGTCGTGTCAGTGCTTTTGTGAAATAGCTGCAGTCACCGGAACGGCATAAAACTCCAGGGAGGAAGGGGGGCTGCCTTAGATTTCAGACTTTGGTCCTGTTTCCCAGTGCTGTTTGAGCCTTTTGGGCTTTGTTTTCATGCACTTCCTATTTCCATGATTTGAATGTGCCTTTTCAGCGTGCTTGTGGGTTTCCTAGGAAAAAAAAAATCGGAGAAAAGAACAAGGAGGGGGGAGAGAGGGCTAGTAGAATAAGCACATGTAAGAAGTAACAGATTTATTTCCGAACAGACTTACAGCTTCGATGATTGCTAAAATGTAGCGTCACCTACCTGGGTAAGTGGGAAATTAACGTTAAGCTCTCTCCTTTCAACTTTGCCTATCCTAGCGTCCCTAGTTCGCTTCTCCTTTTGACTTTGTGCCATTTAATCGCCTCTAGCATTTGCGTGCCCCTGCCCCTGCGCTGTGGGTGGTGCCTGGGCTCCTGTGTCTGTCCTCTCCGGTTCTCGGAGGGAAAAAAAGGGGTACCCCGGTAGGCTGGAGGAAGACGGGGGACCTGGGGGCGAGCTCGGGGCAGCCCGTGGGAAGCGACCCGGCGTGTGCGTGTGTGGGCAGTGAGTTGGGGGGCACGAATCCAGCTGCTCTCTCCCCCTGTGAGAAAACAAGTTGCTGAGGGATCTGTGGGTGCGCGTATTCCTTGCATTAAGCGGTCATTCTGAATAAAGACGCATGCATGCAGGCGAGTATAATGAATTGTCTTTCTTTCATGACGGTGACATCTGAGCAAAAGCGGCCGGATACCGAGGTGGTTCAAAGCAATGGTCACAGCTTGTCTTTGTCATTCGGGGCGGCGAGTGAATGTGGGAGGGAGGGAAGGTTGCCACCTCTTTCTCTGGGGAGTCCAGAGGCACAGAGGGGTAGAGCCACGCTGCGTGGAGTCCTCTCGGAAGCGGGAGTGACTGCTCCCCGCTCCGGAGGGCTGCAGGGCTTCGGCTCCGGCCGCTCTCCCCGCCTCGCCAGGACGCGAAAACCCTCCCCCGCAAACGCTAAAGACACTCGGCTTTATATCTGCAGCATCAGCGAGAAAGCCCGGCTCGGCGCAGGCTCAGTGCTTACCGCCGCAGTCCCGGACGGAGGAGGGGGGCTCGGGAGCTCAGCATCTTCGCAGCGGGTTAAGTAGGATTAATACCAAATCCCTATTATATTTGCCAAGCAACTTGAATTTATCAAAATTCCCCCTCGCTGTTCTGGAGCTCCGAGAGGAGGAAATTTTGCCCACATTGTAAGATCCAGACACACCAGTACGTAGGGAATACCAGCATACTGCATTACACTGGCTCCCCGCACTAGCAATACAATTGCAACCCGAAGCTCCCGCTGTTCCCTTCCCTTTGTGCTTTTAAACGCAGCCAGGAAACTTAATGTATTCACCAGGGGAGGAGCGGGATGAAAGCGCTTTTAACCTCCCCGCCATAAACTTTAATCGGATTCCGAGCTGTTGCACGGCATGGACTCCTCGCCTCTTCTCTGCGTCTCCTTCCCCGTTGTCTCCCATTTCTACTACGATCTGCTTTGCGAGAGCCTTTTCCAAGCGAATGAGTGATTCCTTTCTCTTGCCATGTGCAATCTTTCCCCCCTCCCCTTTCTACCCTCTCTGGCCTCTCTTACACACACTATGTCTTTCACATGCGGTCTGTGCCCCCCAGCCCCCTCCCTTTCTTTCTCTTTTGCAGTGTCTTCGCATGCAATCTCTCCCTGAATGTGCAATGTCTTTCCTGCTCGGGAGTGCTGCGTCCTTCACAGTGGATTGGTTCCTCTTTCGGAGCAGAGGTAACGGCTCCCCCCCACCCCCCCTTTTTCTATCATCCCCCCTTCCTCCCCCTCCTCCTTTCCTCCCCCAGGGCAGGCAAACGGCGTGGGAAATGGGCCCGACGTGCGCTGCATGGTGGATGGCAGCGCCGCTCCTGGTCCACGTGCCTTGGCAGCCGGGAGGAGGACGGGGCCGTGCTGGCTATGCCCCCCCCTCCCCCCCCCTCCCCGGCACCCTGCTTCTTGGTGTGTGGGGGGGAGGAGGAGAGGAGAATCACCCCCGCCCCCTCTCCCCGCCACCCCGGCACGGCGGCCAGGGCGCTCACGGCTGTTTGGGGGGCGGTAGGACCGAGCCCAGCTGTTTCGGGCGGGGGAGGTTTCGCCCTCTCGGTGAAATCTGTTGCGCAGTACAGCCCCCCCCTCCCCGCCGACCCCCCTCTCCCCGATGCACACAGGCGCCCGCTCAGCCACGATCCGGCATTTGCCCTGCTGATCTGGCGAGATCAAGTGGGATGCGGGATCACAAATGTAATCGGCTGTTATAAATAAAAGAGCCCGAGATGCTGGAGATACACAGAGGGGAAATAAGAGCTCGTGTCCTTAAAGGGAACATCTGATAAGGCCACCGAGGTGGCATCTTGCGTGTGGGAAGGAATCCGTCTTGCTGACATTCGCAGCCTGCTGTACGTGGGGAAATCCTAAAGCAGGCTGGGAGCTTCCTCAGCTCCTCTGCATCCCCCTCCCCTCCCCTCCCCTCGAAGCTCGCTTTCCGATGCTCTGCAACGGGGATTTGTTGCTGTTGTAGCTGGTGATTGGAAAGCCAGGGGTCATGGCTAAAATATGCAGATGCCATTAGTGGCTAGCGGATCTGCATGTCTTGGCGGAGCCGGCTCCTGCCTCCCCCGTCCCGACTCGCGCTCGGCGCTTTCAGCCCAGGACGATTGGGTTCTGCAGTTTAGGGACGCCGCTGGCTCCAACCGGAGCATCACTTCTCGGGGCTGCAGTGAGAGCCCACCTCGGCTTAAAGACAGACGGGTTATTTAACTAGCTGTATCACTCTATACGTTAATGTATGGTATTATGTGCTCATTTGCGCGCATGCACGCGCGCACACAAAAGAACAAGCTCCCGAAGGGGGAAAAAATCAGGTGGGCTTGGAAGTAACATATCCGTAATAATATGAGGAAAAGGTTAAATACAGTAAACATGACAGCAAATTCGAAAGCAAGAGAAAAACAGCGACAAAACCCCTCCATAAAGCAGTTAAAGCTGTTTGACTGAGGGAAGAAACTAACTCAAGAACTCCACCAAGGGACAAACAGATGAAATGACACCACAACAGCACTAAGCCCGCCTTGACCTTTCATCTTTCTAAAGTGTCTTGCTGATCTGGTGCAATTCTGTTGTGATCTCTTCACCTCCCTCCCCTACCACAACCTCCCTCTGGCCGCTTCAGAACTCCCTTAGTTCGTTGCAGTGAATATAGTGGGAGGTCGGCTGAATTATAGGGAGTGCTGACACTTGCCCGGTGTCTTTCACAGCTTTGCAAAAATGCTTGCTGTGTAGCAGCAGGAAATAGGCTGGAGTGATTAAATTATTCATTGCAGCAACAGCCTTTCTGATGGACGTTCAAACTTAGGAGTTTAAATAAGGAAACCACAGATTTACTTTTAAGCAGATAATAGCTGCATCTGTGCTTGCTTAACTGAATGCTGGCTAAACACGGAACTAGTTATGTTGTTTAAATCCTCTAATTTTTACTCACTGTGAGAATTTTAAACTAGATAACACCATGAAAGTTACTGACAGAGTATAAACGATTTGTGTTGGACAACAGTGGTTAAATATTACATAATTATAAGTGCTCATTCTTAGAGTAATATTTGAGGTCTGTTCAAAATAGAAGGTTGCTTTCTTGCATAAGCATGATTCCATCATTATTTCACAGCTCTCACATCTGCAAAGAATTCTGGAAAGTAACATTTAGTAAAAGGGGTAGTCAGTCTATTTGCCGGGGTTTTTATTTTTATTTTTGCAGTGCATATAGACTTCTTTATGTATTGCAAAGATTAATCTTGTTTTCCTTCCTTTCTTTCTTCTTTCTTTCTCTCTTGCTTGCTTGCTTATCATTATTCCATAGGATCTGTTCTGAAAGGCCTTTTGCAGACAGGGTATTTTCTTTTTCCATATGAGAAAAATTCTAACCATTCAAAATCATGCATAAATGACAGATAGATTATGCTTGAAATCAGAAGGAAAAATTAATGAAAGGTCTTTAAAAAGCATATGAATTTTCATGAGGGAAGGCAGATATGGGGTATATTTATGCTTCATAGACAACTACTGGATGTCCTGGATTAAGGATATAAACAAGTGCTGCACCCAGCCTCGTTGTTTCATAGATTTTATTTATTTATTTATTTTAATTTAAACTACTGTTCAATTTATTTAAATGCAAAGAAAACTATAGAAAAAAAAAAGCATGAAGGTGTGTGTGCATGAATTGCAAGTGCAAAGACAAGAGGGAAAATTATGGATCATTAGCATATATTCTACACCAGAAGATACAATGACACACTGAGGGGAGATAATTAAAACTGGATTTAATTTAAATGAAAGGTATCAGAATCAGGTAGGATTGACAAAGAAAGAAAAATGTGTTCATTGTCACTGAAAACATTACATGGGTACACTTATGCGTATGGATTTGGTAGCACAGAACACCAGTTACTTTTGGAAATAATGTAAAATTTTTTGATATAATGCTTTTCATATAAGATTGATATTAATAGTGAGCATATTGAAGCACAAAGTACTTTGTAACTTATCCTTGTGAGACAGTGGGAACTGTAATGACCTGCTCAGTCACCCAGCAAGCCACTAACAAATGGGTCTTTCCAAGTTCATCAGACCACAGCTTTGCACTTCTATAGTTTTTTGATGCATTCTGAATTCAACTCAGTATTTGTCTTTGAATACATGGCAGTTATTTCCTCTTTATTTGATGGACTGCTGGAAAGTCAAAACAGTTCATTCTAAGGAGAGTTTAAAATTTGAATTCCAGAGATCTACATATACAAGGGAGTCTTATATCATGAAACCAAATGGATATCAGTAAAACATACTAAACTGTTATATTGTAATAAAGTTAATCTGAATTGCCTGTTGAAGAAGAAATATCAAAACAAGATGGCCGTGCTGCAGAATTCAGAGAAAGAACCTTTGATATTAAAATTTAAAATGCCATTATGGATAATTGAATTCTGTGGAATTCTCTTCTATAAGTTAACTCCAATGTATGTTATTGGTTATAACCAAAATGTATTTTTTAAGTCTACACATATTCATTTACTTATTTCTGAACTTTAATGTTTCTGTTTAGTTCATCAGAAATCATCATTGCTCTTCAGCTGAAATAAGGGCCATATAAATACACTGTTATTATAAGTTAAGGAATTAAATATGGTGACAAGGGAAGTAATTTAGAGTAGGACCAAGCTGTTGATTGTTTATTGGACCATCTATTTGGCCTCGATCTGCAAAGAATAAAACAGCTTTCCTAGATAATTTATGTTAGTCTTCTCATTTCTTTTCATATGAAAAGTGCAACATTAGAACACTTACAGGTTATATTGTTCTAACTCTTATTTATCTGTTCATTTCAGAAGAATACTTTTTTTTCCCCTAATCCTTTGTTGGACCCTAACAGAGTTGTGGCTATTCACGAAAAATCGTAAGGGCCATTTACCTGCTCCCATTCCCACCTTAGTGGTGTGACAGAGGAAGAAATAGTGTGAAGAGTCAGTCCCCTGAACTTTCCCTGCTCCTTTCCCTATATTGCATAGCTCCAGTGAAGAGCTTTGGCAGTTAGCCAAAATAAGAATTTGAGGTTGGGGAAGGATCCCATAAACACCGAAGAAAAAATATAAAGCCAAATCCATCCAGCAAGCAAATACGTTTTAGAGTGCTAAGCACCAATCAATATACTGCTTATGAAATGCTTTGTACAACTACCTTTAATCTCCAAAATAAGAGGGAGTGGGTTGAGCCACCCTTCCTGTAGGGAAGATTACATAGCCAGTCTTTGAAATTGCTTTGTCCTCCTGCTGCCTCTTTTGCACTTTTTGCCATGCACAGTTAGCCATACTTTAATGTCAACTTTAACTGTTTTGAAAAGTTTTCTTGAGATCATCCATTGCATAATTACATTTTGAGCTTCCTTTATAAGAGTAAGCACAACTGTATGGACTGGGGTTTTATGACTTACAATATATCTAGAGGAAGAGAAGTACTGATAAGTTTCCACATTTTTCATCTTCTGATAGAAGCCTGACATATCTTCCAGTTCATTCATTCTGTGAGATGATTAAAAAGTTGCTCAACAAACTAAACCTCATCCAGGGCTCAGCAGGAAATAACTGCAATCTAAGCAAATTAAAGAACAGACAGTGCAACCAAAGTGTACCTCTTTCTTTGCCTTTTAAGATCACGGGAAAAGAGAAAAGCAGTCGAATATTGTGATAATCCTGGGAGCCTGCAGAAGCTGGTTGATAGGTAAGGATATAGAACCTAATCCAAAGCATACAGAAGTCAATGGAAGTACTTTGACTGAATAGTTGTGTTAGGCACCAAGTGAGCGAATGATGTTTAAAACATTCATGCAGATCTTAAGCAGATGAATGAAGAAAACAATGTGCATTTTAATCAAAACAAATGCTATTTAACCACAGTAATGTAAATGATATTTTGGCTGACCTCAGAGATCACCTTTATGACTCAGAATAAACTGTAAGTGGATCCTTGGATGCTGAATTCTATATCCTATAGTTTGCTAATGCA